GCTATATTCGTGCACGAAACGTCTCAAATAAAACAATGTAAACTACACTTAATTGACGCGACCGCATCGCTGTCGTTGGCGACTAGTTTGCACACGTTTGCTTTGTGGTGCGATAACAAGTCATGGAACATTTTGTTCAATATGACGTCAAAGCACACTCGCGTGTACTCGTTAACAACCGGTACGTCGAAACCGAAGGACTGAACTTTCACGCGTTTTGACGCATGTTTGCCGGACGCCGTGTGGTAAACGACAATCCCGTGATAGAACTGCGCGAAATGATAAACCATGCGTCGCGCGCGCAAACAAACAATTACGTAAACACGTACCTGTAATTGTTTTTTTGCGCGCACATTAATCACGTAAGACCGAACTTGCGTTAATCACAAGACGAGCGTCGGTGTTGCGATTGTTGTTCACCGCATCGAACAAAAACGCTGCGTTTAGCTGACATTTAACAAACGTTTTGATCCATGAAACTAACTAACATTTTAATCCGTCGAACAAACGTCTTAGTTCGTCAAACGATCATCTTAGTCCGACGAACGAATCTTTTGGTACCGTCGCGTCAACATATAGGTTGCAACGGCGACAATTGTTTTGTCACAGATGAGATATATTTGGCGGTACAATACTTAAGCTTACTGCGAAAAGCTTCCGGCGATTGGTTTCATTCGGATCAGATCGACACGTCGAAATCTTTGAACATGGATTGATCGACAAACCCTTCTTTGAGGCGTCGACCGACTCATCGTTCGTCACCGCATCATCGAGCAACAAAACGTTCGCCACCCCCTCCGGTTTCTCGTTATGTCTGCGTTAACGTGCGAGTTCGGTCGGAATCGATAAATGGTCGACAAAACAACCGTCGTCGTCCGCGAAGCAAGCGCGCAAACAGACATCCGATTTCGCGGTCGCGCGAAAAGTTGTAGATATGCTGCGCCAAGTGCCATTTTGCGTTGACAACCGCGCTAAGTTACGTCCGACATAGTGATATTCTCGCCGCAGGAGTGCAAGCGCAAGAAAAAATCCATGGTTATAACACATCTAGATTTGACGAGACACCTGATCGATTTTACCAACTGCTTCCACGACCCAAGCGTCAAAGATCCGGCGGACGAAACGGCAGAGCCATTGGTAATTACAACAATGCAATGCGATACAAAATTCCGATTGACAACGTTCCGCTTCTGCAAATAGTTCTCGTATACAATGTGTTGCCGTTGCACAACAACGACGTTAGTCATAAGGTAAGTAACTCAGATCAGAACCAGGCTGCAACCCGTAAGTTGCACAATTAGTATTTCAGAAACTAAAAGAGATAAAAAAAAAAAACGGTTTGCACCATTGCGTTTTTAGCGTAAAAAACTGCAAACTACCAGTGTGTTTCAAAACGTCTAACTATTGTTGTTAACGAAGAATTGTTTAAATAATTAAAATTAGTAACTTTTTATTTTGTGGTAGTTTGCATCTAAGTAATAGAATGAAGGATCACAAAATCGTTTTTCGATAACTCTTCTGGTTCGCGAAATATTTAAATTTATTTTCACTCATCGCCATAATTTACAAACCAGTAAATGAAAGACCTCTGTAAAATTAGGTTTGCCCTAGCTGTCTTACTTCTCGAGTTCTCCTACATTTACAATATCGACTATGTGTCGTTAAACACAACATGTGTTAATAAACAAAATGCTTATATACGTCAAAAATTATCTTGATAAATTCCGGGACTTTTCGAGAACTTTTCAACTCCCCGGTGGTGGCTACTGCTGTTAGTATGGTTATTTATGTTATGAGTTAATTATTATTACCGCGTGTTTTTATTAATAAATTTTACATTATTATAATTGTTTCTATAATTTACGTTTCTTTAATTTTGCCATAATAATTAAATTCTGCTTTATTATTGTAACCGCATATATATCTATTGTCTTGTATAATAGTTAAACAATTAGCATTATTAGCGTTTTGTAAATTAGTTCAGTAGTCTTAAATGTACAATTAATCTTTTAATAAATATTTAGGTAATTTAGGCAAAACGTTGTAAAATATTCTGTACTATTCGTGCGCGAAGTGTTCCCAAGGCAAAGTTCGCTTGTTAGGGGCCAGTGTCACTGGCTTGGCCGGGCAAACGGCTCAAAGTTGAGATAAGGCATGCGCCGAGATAAGGTACGCGTTAGACAGCAAACCGTTGGCGGCCGCGAGATCGTTGACCAGGAGCTAGTGACCGCTGGACCCGTGAGACCGTGCAGCGTCAGCGTATTTGAGACGCTATATAAACGGCCAGAGCGACTGGTCCGGACACAGAGTCTGTCTCTGAGATTGATCCTGTTCAGTTCGCTTCGCGAAAAAGTCAGTTCGGATTAATTCTTTTCAGTCGGGACTTAGAATATTATAATGTTTTCGTGTCGGGACTTCGAATATTTTAAGTTTTTCGTGTCAGAACGTAGAATATTGTAATATTTTTGTGTCAGAACTTAGAATATTTTAATTTTTTTCGTGTCAGAACTTAGAATATTTTAATTTTTTCCGTGTCATAACTTAGAATATTTGAATTTTTTCAAGTAAGAACTTAGAATATTTTAAGTACTTCCAGTTAGGACTTATAATATTTTCAATTTTTTGTGTCGTAACGTATAACATTTTAATTTTTTCGTGTCGGGACTTAGAATATTGTAATTTTTTTTTTGGGGACTTAGAATATTTTAGACCTGGAATAAGTTGGTTTTTGCGTCTACACTTAGGATAACCTTGCGTGCGCAGATTGAATCTGACTTCGAGTTTGTTTAATGGTAAAAGTACATATCAATAATAATAATAATAATTCCTCTTTTGTACCTCGCACACGGGTGTAATATGTAGTCGATTTACATCGTTCTGATTACTGTTAGTTACACCTGCTCACCCTGCGTCGTTTCCTGTTATTCCGTTGACGAGGAAGGCGCACACGAGTGCACACTCGTTATTTCCTGTCATTTTTAAGTACGAAAAAGGTGCACACGAGTGCACACTCGTCACTTCCTGTTATTCCGTTGACGAGGAAGGTGCACACGAGTGCACATTTGTCATTTCCTGTCATTCCAAAGTACGAGAACGGTGCACACGAATGCACACACGTCACTTCCTGTTATTCCGTTGACGAGGAAGGTGCACACGAGAGCACATTAATCACTTCCTGTCGTTCCGTTGACGAGGAAGATGCACACGAATGCACACTCGTTATTTCTTGTCATTCTCAAGTGCGAGGGAGATGCACAGGAGTGCACACTCGTCACGTCTTGATCCTGGGTACTACAGTGAGAAGGGTGCAATAAAGATTGCACGCTTATTCGTCGTATCTATTCCTAGGCTTCCCGTCAGCCAGAGGCCCCGTCTCCGCGACAAAGTCGGCGGACCCGACGTGGAGGCAGGGAGCACCAACTGAGGGCCCTTCAAAGACCCTACGCGCGCACCGAATCTTTTGACCTCGCGGTGCTTGACACTACCCGCGTGACTGATACGGAAAGACGCGCCGCATATTTTCACACGACAAGTACAGTGGAACGCGCCGTTAACCGGGTCCCGCGAATTATTAGTAACGAAGAGTTCACGGGGCGGATTTCGATCATTCGACCCTCGTGGAGGTTGATCCCGATTACCCGCGGTAGAATTGTTTACCCGGCTACGGTCCTCCCGACGGATCCACGGTTCCGGGTGTACATGGAAAAGCGACGCAAGGTGGTGTACCTCACTCAAAGATCCTCTCACAAGCATCGGTTTACCCGGGCTCCGTCAACAAAGGTCTCGTGCGAAAAACAGTAACCAACTTCACACATGCAGCACACATAGGTCCACCTATGTGCATCGGACGGTCGGCACCGCCCGGTGAACCCGGCGGGTATATCGAGTTGATGGAGGCGTTCGAT